GCGCGCGCGTACGCAGCCGCGGCGGCGGCCGCCGCCGCCGCGGTCGCCATGCTCGGGGCCGGGGGGGGCGGCGTGCACGACGCGGCGGCGCTCGGTGCCGCGCTGGTGCGCGGCAGCAGCCCGCTGGTGGGTGGTTCTGGCCCTTTCGGCTGCTCGCCGATGGGCGGCAGCCCCTATGGCAGCAGCCCCTTCTCTGCGGGCCCGTTCGGCCCCAGCCCTTTCGGCGGCAGCCCTGCGGGCGGCAGCCCCCTGGCTGCGCTCGTGGGCGTGTTTGGCACCGCGGCCGGGGTCGGGATGCCGCAGATTGCGATGGGCTCGTCTCCTGCAGGGACCGTCCCGTGGGGCGCGCCGCCGCCGCCCCTGCCGCCGTTCGACCCCGGGCCGCTGCTGCCGCGGAGCGGCAGCCTGCAGGGCGCCTGCGTGCCCGCGGGTCCCCTGCTCGCGGGCGCGGCGCGGCAGGCGGGGGCGGCGGCGGCAACAGCACCCGATGGGCAGGACGCGCGCTTGCCTCAGCAGCAGCAGCAGCAGCAGCAACAGCAGCAGCAGCAGCGCCGCGGCAGCGGCGCGCCTCCGTTGTGTGCCCCGCTGCCAAAGCGCTCCGGCGGTTCCAGCGGCGGCGCGAGCCCGCGTGCGCACGGGCCGGGCGCATCGACACCCGCGTCTCAGTGGCGCGGCGGCGGTTTCGCGCAGGGCTCGAGCCCGCGCGCGCCGGCGTCGCGCGCCGCGTCCGAGCGGGCAGCTTCTGAGCGGGCGGCTTCAGAGCACGGGGAGGAGGCAGGCGTGCCATTTTTGTTCGACGAATTCTGGGGCGCGGACGGTCGCGTTGCCGGGCCTCCTTGCGGCGCTGACGCCGACGCTGGCGGCGCGGGCGGCGGCGGGAGCGGCGGCAGCGGTTGCGGCGGCGGCAGGTGGGACGAGCAGGCGGCTTCCGCGGCTGTGCCGTGCTGCGGAAACGAGGACGGCGCGTTGGCTTTGTTCGAGAGCCTTTCCAAGCCGCTTTCAGAGTATCTGCCAGGCGGCCCCGCGGGAGCGGGCCGCGGCGCAGCCGGCAGCACCGCGGGCCCGGCGAGCGACGCACCCGAGCAGGTGCTGGGCCTGCCGGTGGCCTGGGGCGGCGGCGGCCCGCGGCCGCCGGCGGGCGGCAGGGATGACTACCTAGCTGAGCCGAGGACGTCCCGCCTGTTCCTGGGCAACCTGGGGTGAGGCAGCCGCCGCGCGGGCGGCCGTGCGCCTCCAAGTGCACCTGCCCCGCCCGGCCGCCTTCCAACTCGCAGCGTGGCCAGTCCGCGTCACCGCCTCGCTCGGGCCGTGGGGGACCGGGCTACCCGCACGCTAGGTCAGATCCCATCTCCGTCCTTGCTCACCCCACCTTCAAACCCCTGCCCGCCTCGACCGCATTTTGCTCCTGGGAACTGCACTGCAGTTGGTGGGTGGACGAGGACATGCTGCTGCAGTGGTTCTCCCCCTACGGGCGCATCACTGATGTGCAAGTGATGTGGAACACCAAGATGCGGGGGCGCGGAAAGAAGGTCAACAGGCAAGTGCAGCCGGGGGCACGGGGGCGCGGGGCGGGGCGCTGCGCTGACTTTGGCGTCCGGAAGGGGGTTGGGCTCTGGCATGCGGGGTGGTGTCGACTTGGTTCTGTGGCATCTTGTGGGGGGCATGCACGGGAGCGCATACGCAAGCGCGAGTGCATGCGGACGCCACACGCACACACACGCGCGCGCACACGCACACACACACACACACACACCATCACCACCACCACCACCACCACGACATCCACGCCCCCGGCACCACAGGGAGTTTGCCTTCTTATCGTTCGCGTCAAAGCTGGACGCCGCACGCGCCGTGCACTGGCTGGACGGCTGCCGCATCGTTGACCTGCAGAAGGACGCAGGAGGCATCACCGTCGAGGCCGAAAACGGCGACGGCACGACAGCGTGATCTGGTTTGATCGACCTGATCTGGTTTCGCTGCTTCAAAACGCGGCGGCAAGGCGCCGCATTGCGCTCCTGCGGCGAGGCGCGGCGCATGGGGCCGAAGCACCAAGGGGCGCGCGTGGCGTCCGCATTGTGAGCCTGCGGCGCGACTCGTGGAGGCGCCATCACAATCCTGGCGCATGTATCCTAACTCAATTGACTGTTGAGCACTTTTCCAGGGCCGTAAAGCCTGGCGTCCACGGGGTCTCAGAGCCGTCCTCTCGCGCGCCAGGCCGCCCTGGGTTTGCAATTGCAGAGCTGGCGTCCAATTTCAATCGCTGTCCAATGTGCGTGTAGCGGGACCGAGCCCTCGGCCGCTCGTCCCGGCGCATTGCCTGGCGCAGCCATCCCCCCCGCCGACCACCCGGGCAGGCGAGCGGCCAATGCATGCACGCCCTGCGCTGGAATGTCGCGCCCTTCTCAGATCGCATGCCCAGTGGATGCCGTCCTTACTCTGTGTCACAAAGCGTCGTGTTGGTCGTGCGTATGGTCGTACAAACAAAATCAAACCCGCAGATTGCGGTCAGAGGTTGCCGCGTGCCTTGCGGTAGCCACAGCGGGGCGCGTTCATGCTTTAGTAAACCCAGGATAAACTGGGTGAGACCACAATGACAGTGGTGAGCAGTGTGACCCGGACACAATGGCCCCGCTCGTAAGGGCGGCTTCCTTTGATCGGAGGGCGGCAGTTCGTGCGAAACTAGTAAAGTGCGTTAGTTGGACACCAGCGACAACAGGGGCAGGGGCCGCCTGGCTCTGCCATGCAAGGCGTTCCGTTGGTGGCAGCTTCGGCCAGGCCGCGGCTGGATCCCTGCACCTTGACGGGGGCCAAAGTCACAAAGGGCGGGGCGGCGCGTGAACGCCGACCCAGAGTCACAATCCGCACACTGGGTGCCGCTCTCGCGCGTTGGGCCTGGCGTCAAACGCGGCGCGCAAATGGGATGCACCCACAAATCATGCTCGCAAAACGCGCTTGGCCGTCACAGACGGACGGGTGATTGCATGTGGTGATGGCTGTCGTAGGCGAGCTAAGGCGCCTTTGCGGGACGGCCAATTCAAAGCCACCACGCCGGTCGCGCCGCAACAAGCGGCTGGCGCAGCTGGCGCCTTCTGTGCGGCAAGCGGGGCCGAGCAGTGGCGCGAACCAGAGCCGAAGGCTGGGTGGCCCAGTGCCAGTGCCTGCATTTTAGCGGGCGCGTCTGCAGACAACTGCAACCGAGCTCCGGACAAAGAGGGTGCGAAAGCGACGCGCATGGAGGGCCAAAAAAGGCGGGGCAGCAGTTGAGGCGATGCGCACGTGCACCACATGGGTGCTGACAAGAGCGCGAGAGATGTTGCAAAAGCGAGAGGGCACACAGGGGACAGAGGGACAGAGACGCACGCCAAGAGAGAGTGGGTGTGTGTGGGATCAAGGACAGCACACAGCACACACACACACAGAGAGAGAGAGAGAGAGAGAGAGAGAGAGAGAGAGAGAGAGAGACAGATAGAGAGAGACAGAGAGAGAGGGGGGCCAACGTATGTGCCGGGTAAGAGGGTGGCAAAGGCCTTCGACGCTGGAAGCCGCTGGCCTGCGAAGCGAAGGCAGGCGCAGCAGGCCCCAGCCCGGCGCATGCGCAGCCGATGCCAATCCTACGCCCCAGGCAAGCCTGTGGGAGTGGGGGCACGCGCCCGCCATGTAATTGATTCAGCCGGAGGCAGAGGCCCCGGCTAGCACCTTGGCACACCTCGGCGAAACCCGCGGGGTTGTCTTGGTGGCTATGAACTCGCGACGCGGGCGGAAAGCAAACGCCGCCGAAGCTGGGATCACGGGCCGCAGGAAGTGCCCCATCGATGGCAGCGAGGTGCGGGCTGGCCGGTCAATTGACGGAATAGGGCATGGCGTGATGGCGTCCCAGCCGAGGCGGGGAGCGCCGCAGCTTGGAGCGGCACCCTCCCGCGCATGTGCGCTCGGTCTGCGGCCCCAGTCAGTGGGGTCGTCCGAGCAAAGGCAGGGCTCAGGCCTGCGTAAAGACAGTGCCGTCACACGCGTGGCGGGTGGACCGCCGCCAGCTGCCAGCGGAAGCTGCCGCCGCCACCCGCGGGCCCCCGCGTCAGGCGCACCAAAGGAAACGGCAGCCTGGGGCGGGGGCGCAGTATGCCTGGCCAGGCGGGTACCTCAGCTCAATGCTTCGAGGGACGTGCCAGCGCAAGGCTGCGATGCAAATGCTGGATAAAGCATAAATGGGATCAGGGGTCAAGCCCGGCGCGCCGGGACGGTGGCTCCCATCAGTTGCCGGCTGCTGCAGCAGGCAGCCCTGGAACCGTGCCGGGCCTGGGGCCGAGCGGCTTTGGAGAGATGGCTGCGCGTGCCGCCAGCCATGTTAGAGCATGTGTTCATGTGCGTGTGTATGGATAGGTGCGCGCGCATGTGTGTGTGCGTGTGCACATGTGGGTGCAGGGCGTGGATGGGTGGGTGCGTTTGTATGTGTCCGTTTGTCACATATGTGTACAAGAGGGGGTCATTCTCCCATCTCAACACCCACTGGGGCTGGGGGAGCTTCAAACTTCGGCTCCGCACCACTCGCGTGTGCAGGCGCTACGGAGCCCGGCCCCGGCCGCACCGCCACCACTTTGCCGGCGTCCACAGCAGCAGCAGCCGCGGCTATCAAAGCCGCCGCTTCCGCATGGCCC